GTATATCACTGTCGACAAATACCCGATTCTATTGAGGAGGAGAACATAAACGGGCGTCACGCATTAATGCGGGCTGACGCGAAAAGAGGGGAAACCCAAAACAAGAGGGAACAGCTGCAAGGAACCGAAAACCTTGTAGAAGAGATCTCAACCCAAATAAGAGAGGGGAAAAGAATAAATAAGGAAATCAGTTTCTGGGTTACAATATATAAAGTACAGTATATATATACTGTACATGAGAAGTCCATTTTCACCATGTCATACAAATGGGAATCATTTTGGAACCTCTCTGCCTCTGTGGACCTTTCCGTTTACAACAGGAAAAAAAAACTATAGTGGTAAGTTTACTTTTTGAAGAAAAAAAAAATATTATCAATTTAAGTCTCTAATCCCTCCCATCAGCCTTCGTATAGCAACACCAACATCGATATCAGCATTGAAAATGAATCGTGTTTCAATGAACCAAATGCCAGGTTACATGTGCAGCGTTTGCGGGTCTTGTTTTGCTGAACGTGTTGCTCGGAAATAATGCGACCATTTGTTTCTTGTTTCATTCATTGCTGGGACAAACGATGCAATGTTTCATTGTTGAACTTGAGTAATTTCCAGTTGTGTTGCTGGGTGAAATCCTGGACTCCCAAGCGATTATAAAATGCTACAATTTCTGGTTTCTCAACTTCCATGGCGAAGTTCAGTCGGTTGCAGGGATGATTTAAAATTTCCTGAAATGCATAATAATAAAAAATAAATATGCGTATTGTAATTTTGAGATGAGCTAATTTTCACGAGGAGCTCGATTTAGAAACACGGTATTCGATCTGGATATTGAAACAATCACCCTTAAACGTAGCTTTTGTGCTTTCTGAGCCCTGTGAAAAATCAGTGATGAAATTTTGAAATTACCTCGCCCGACGTCAATTCAAAATTAAAATTCGAAAGTTTAAAAAGCTATACTAGAAAGAAAAACTTTTTTCATTATTACATTAGCTTATTTCGCGGGATTTAATAAGAGGAGTGCACTTTAAATTTTCACGCAGCGAAATCCTTTCGAGTGTTGAAATAAATTCATAATTTTTTTTTAAATATAATTTTTAAGCAAAAATTAAGTGATCACATTTTTCGACACAGAAAACTGGTGTTATTTATTGTGTTATGAAAACAATATTCACGGAGTTTCCCCGAAAATTTTTCAGAAATTTGAGATGGAAACATTCGCGGCATTATTCGATTTTCCAACATTGACAAAAATGTTTTTAAAAGTTGTTAGAAACATATACGTTGTTTTCTTGCTTTTGCGCTAGCAACACCGAAAATTTTTCAGAAATTTGAGATGGAAACATTCGCGGCATTATTCGATTTTCCAACATTGACAAAAATGTTTTTAAAAGTTGTTAGAAACATATACGTTGTTTTCTTGCTTTTGCGCTAGCAACAATTTTCAATACGATACCCAAAACTGATGATCTGCAGAAATAAGTTCATGAATTTTTAGTCGAGCGAAAGTTTTTGCGGAACAAATTTTATTCGTGAGTATAATTTTTCTTTACGGATAAAAGCTTATGGGAAATTTTTTTTACGTATCATTTGTTAAGCAGTGAAACACTATACAGTATTATGAAAGCCTTAGAAAAACGCATATATGAGAATGATTTGTAATTAATTAAGACATGCAGTAAATGATAAATTACCTTCATGGTAGCGAGTAACAATTGCTTGCCTTGGCCTTTATTCCTGTTCTCTGGTGACATGTAGAGGTTTTGAAGCCAATAAGTTGGTCCTACTTCCACTGAAAACTGATATGAATTATCAGTAAATATTGAATACAGTATTATTCGTTATTTTAGCGGATCCACATGAAATAATATGCGTATACTGTACAGTACAGTATTTTCACAGGGGCGAACTTTGATGCTGACTAATTTTGAATAAGAAACCTTTGCCTGTAACGAGATTTTTAAACTTGCATTTTAGCCCAATAAGATTGCCTGAAAACATGAGCGCAATCACAAAATTAGGGAATTACTATATATATGAAGGTATAAGTTCTCAAATTTGTAAAAAGTGCGAATAACCGTCCCTCATTTCTGAAGCTAGTATGAGGAATCCGTTTTCATTCATTTCAAGGTTAGCGTAATTGCGTTTAAGAAAATTTTGAGGAAAGTTACATTTATTTAAAAAATATATTCATTGTTAATTTTCGAATATTGATATTATTGAAATTAAACTCACGGTTTTGTAAAATGTAGAGTACCCCACGACCTTTCCTTCTTTTACTGCGACGATTGAGTCGAAAATTTTGTCATTTTCATCAACCGCTGCTGGGCCATGTTTCAAAATAACTGAAGAGAAATTTTCTTACAAAATTTAGCAAATGAAAATATTTAAGGTAATGTTCCTTGGATACCTTCAATGGTTCTTGAGTCTTGGACAGGATATCCGATAAGTTGAGCAAAATCCTGGAAAACAAAATCCATCCTTGAAAAAATTCCCCAGTTTTATTGAAGGAGAATTTTCAAATTTCTTTCTGACCTCCATCAACTTATGCATTTCCGGGAAGTCGTTTCTTTCGGCTGGCCTGAGGTCAAGTCCATGAATTTCTTTCCGGCTGATTTATGAAAGGAAGAAAAAAAGTAGGACAACCAGGAATTTAGTGTAACATTTTTACATTTATGATTCAGTTATGAATGAATGTTTAAAAAAAACTAGACCTTGTGTTGACAAGTTTTTCCATCGTGACTCTGTCGAAATTGCAGAGGCTATACTTGTATTTTTCTGACTCACTGTAAGCACCGAGAATTTCCCACGGTTCCATTTCTTCTTCCGTTTTTGCGATGAGCAAGACGCACGTAATTTTTCGTTTTTCTCCCTCCTGTTTTTTTTTTTTTTTGCACAAAAATTCGACGCTTTTAATAATCCTCGATGACTTTTGTACCTTGTGTATGTCACGATTTTTGTGAATGAATTTTCATCCGCTTCTGATGGTTGTTACACCATGTTTGAAATTTGAAGCAAATTTGGCACAGTTATAAAAATGTTAAGTTTAAAATGTACTAACGTAAACTGTATCCGCTGAATATTTTTGAAATTGCTTAAAATTCTAGGTCTTCAATCCTCGTGATTTCGTGTATACACAATCCGTAAATTTTTGGTTGTGATCAAAATTTCTAAAATTTTAAATTCATGTTGGAAGCAACGTAATCCTTTGGAATATTTTGAATATCTTTTTCAGGGATACATATTTTGCTTTCAGAAGAGAGCTTCTCCAACATTCGTATTCTATTTCGGAAGCTGGTTTTTTTTTACCCGTTTCATCATTTCTTGGAAGAATTTCTTCTCAACTCCGCGGTTTTTGAAATCCTTTCTCAAATGGAAAGCATTGATGAAAAGGGAAGGTCCTCCGAAAATCCACTGCAATTTTCTCCCTGTTCAGCGTTCAATACTCTTTGGTTTGAAAATTCGAAAATTTGTTACCGATTTTAAGAAAATTCCGTAGCGTTAATATACTGACAGGCTTCAAACGTACTCATTACACACTATCTAATAAAGGTACTTTAGGAAACTCAGCGTCATGCTTTACAAAAGAAGGACAAGTTTTTTAGTTTTCATCCTTTTCGCTTACTTCAACGGATTTTTTGTTTGCGTTTGAAAAATAAATTAGACTAACTTTCATAAATTTGACGAGACTTGGAATATCCTCGGGAATTCCAGATCGAATTCTGATCTCCATTTCCTGTTTCTTTTTTTAAATTGACAAAATTTTTCACACACAAAAATGTTTTTTAATCTTCAAGAAAATTGAATCAATTGTGGAGCACTGCAAATTTTTTTCGTGGCGAATTTCCCGAGATTTCGCCTGACACTTTCTTCGCAATTTCTTCACCGATCGAAAAAGAATATTTAATTCCCTCAATTTGATTTTTCTCATAATAAATCCGTTTCGTTCAGTTGCATGCATATTGAGCGTTTGAATTACTTTTTTTTCTTCAAAATTTAATGTCATTCGAACGAGGAAGAATTGATCAGCTTGTTGCTGAAAGGGAACTGGTTTTATTGTTGAATCATGTCGTGAACGTGTCTAGTTTCATGTATCTGTTAGTTTATGTTTATGGTCTTTGAACCCCGCCATTGGACTTGACATAAACGCGAGAATAAATGATAGTTCAATTTTGAATCCAAAAAATAGTGATAAATTATCTTAAGGCCATCCCATTTTCAAGATATAATGCTCTCTGATTTTTTCTCTCTATTTAAGTCTAATATCGCTTTATTTAAAAATCTCTGTAAAATGATCAATCACGAATTTAATTCAGTCATTCAATAAAAAGTCTTTTTTTTTGTACTACATCATCACCGAAACACCCTTTTTTGTCACTTCTGATTTTTTCTGTAAATTTTCTGGATTTATTTCATAGAAACTAACTGAATATAAAATTTTCGGCGTATCCGAAACAGTGATTACTCAAGGTTGTTGTTATAAACATTATCCGACTAATTCACACAATTGAGTGCAGAAAATATCCTTTGCAGCACTGATTTTTTTTTCTTTCAGAAACTCTCAGTTTATTGTTTGTTTCCAAAATATTGACGAAGGTTTAATAGAGCATATGTACAGGTGTGACACAAAATTAATTAATTGCGTTTGGGATTTTTCATTTGATTATATGTGGTTGTGGGAAATTTAGCGGAATTTCACTCTGTTTTAAGAATTGCGACCAAGTAAAATTTCTTTTTGCCGTTGAAAGCATTTGACGCGAGAAGCGTCTTATTTTTCAAGCCACAAATAATAAACCATTTTTTACAAGTATATAATACTGCGCTTTATTTCTTTACACTGTATACACACACTATAGCCCCCACGAAAAGGCTGAAAAATTTCCACGTGAATCAAAAGCTCGAAATTGAAAATAAACGCATATAAATGTTTTCATTGAAAATGCGATTAAAAAAGCTCGGTTATTCCACTACGGTAAAATTCCAATACTGTATGAAGTCAACCTGCATCACTTATGATGAAATCCTAGCATGAAGAAAAGAAGTTCAGACGGAGGTTTCCAAGGGCCTCCCGCGAAGGTCGTAAAACGTCCGCAAGATGTCGTCCAAAGCCTCAGCGCGGCGAATGAGGCACCATTGATTGTCATCTACCAAAACCTCTGCCAACTTCGGGCGAAGGTTGTAATTACTGCCCATAGATGTCGCGTAAGCGCCGCAATCCCAAACTGCAATTCCACTTTCCGCTACGGGTTCAGGCATCGTGAAACCCTTGGCTAGGAAATCCCCGCATTCACAAATTGGCCCGACTATTTCAAACTGAAAAAAATATAGACAGTATAGCATCAGTTTCTCCTGTAATTGCAAGAACAAAAAACTTTTGAGGAAGATCATGTATAATTTGTTCTCCAAAAACGGGTGACATTTTGGTGAAGGCTTATTTATAGTCTGGCTTTCATGCAGCAGATGTTGAGGAATCAAAGAATTCATGCATTTTGATTGATATCTTCAAAAGAATGCTGATTCCTTACAATGAAATAGAAGATTATTTGATTTAGTTTGATTAAAAAGTTGATTCAATGGAGATTTTATTTCAGAATTACATTTCTTGAAAATTGGCATTCAGAAATCAGAACAGGCTTACTCAGAACTTCAGAAGCAATAAAGAAAATTTGGTGCAAACATGGTAAAGCATTGGTATAATTTGTTGGTATAAACAGTATTGAGAATAAATACTACAGTATTTAATAAATGCACCAGATGTTGAAGAAACAAAGAATTCATGCATTTTAATTGAAATATTCAAAATAATGCTGATTTCTTACAATGGGATAGAANTTTGGTTGTGATCAAAATTTCTAAAATTTTAAATTCATGTTGGAAGCAACGTAATCCTTTGGAATATTTTGAATATCTTTTTCAGGGATACATATTTTGCTTTCAGAAGAGAGCTTCTCCAACATTCGTATTCTATTTCGGAAGCTGGTTTTTTTTTTTTTACCCGTTTCATCATTTCTTGGAAGAATTTCTTCTCAACTCCGCGGTTTTTGAAATCCTTTCTCAAATGGAAAGCATTGATGAAAAGGGAAGGTCCTCCGAAAATCCACTGCAATTTTCTCCCTGTTCAGCGTTCAATACTCTTTGGTTTGAAAATTCGAAAATTTGTTACCGATTTTAAGAAAATTCCGTAGCCAATTATATGACTGTCCGAAGTTTGCATGAGTAATGTGTGATAGATTATTTCCATGAAATCCTTTGAGTCGCAGTACGAAATGTTTTCTTCCTGTTCAAAAAATCAAAAGTAGGAAAAGCGAATGAAGAACGGATTTTTTTTTTGCGGTTGAAAAATGAATTGACTAACTTTCATAAATTTGACGAGACTTGGAATATCCTCAGGAATTCCAGATCGAATTCTGATCTCCATTTCCTGTTTCTTTTTTTAAATTGACAAAATTTTTCACGCACCAACAAATTTTTTTGAAAATCTTTGAGAAAATTGAAGAATCCTGGAGCACTGCAAATTTTTTTCGTGGCGAATTTCCCGAGATTTCGCTCGACACTTTATTTGCAATTTCTTCACCGATCGAAAAAGAATATTTAATTCGTTCAATTTAATTTTTCTCATAATATATCCGTTTCGTTCAGTTGCATGAATATTGAGCGTTTGAATTACTTTTTTCCCCTCAAAATTTAATGTCATTCGAACGAGGAAGAAATGATCAGCTTGTTGCTGAAAGGGAACTGGTTTTATTGTAGAATCATGTCGTGAACGTGTCTAGTTTCATGTATCTGTTAGTTTATGTTTATGGTCTTTGAACCCCGCCATTGGACTTGACATAAACGCGAGAATAAATGATAGTTCAATTTTGAATCCAAAAAATAGTGATAAATTGTCTTAAGGCCATCCCATTTTCAACATGCAATGCTGTCACATTTTTTCTCTATTCATGTCTAAAATCGCTTTATTAAAAAATCTCTGTAAAATGATCAATCACGAATTTAATTCAGTCATTCAATAAAAAGTCTTTTTTTTTACTACATCATCACCGAAACACCCTTTTTTGTCACTTCTGATTTTTTTCTGTTGATTTTTCTGGATTTATTTCATAGAAACTAACTGAATATAAAATTTTCGGCGTATCCGAAACAGTGATTACTCAAGGTTGTTGTTATAAACATTATCCGACTAATTCACGCAATTGAGTGCAGAAAATATCCTTGGCAGCACTGATTTTTTTTTTCGTTCAGAAACTCTCAGTTTATTGTTTGTTTCCAAAATATTGACGAAGGTTTAATAGAGCATATGTACAGGTGTGACACAAAATTAATGAATTGCGTTTGGGATTTTTCATTCGATTTTATATGGTTGTGGGAAATTTAGCGGAATTTCACTCTGTTTTAAGAATTGCGACCAAGTAAAATTTCTTTTTGCCGTTGAAAGCATTTGACGCGAGAAGCGTGTTATTTTTCAAGCCACAAATAATAAACCACTTTTTACAAGTATATAATACTGCACTTTATTTCTTTACACTGTATACACACACTATAGCCCCCACGAAAAGGCTGAAAAATTTCCACGTGAATCAAAAGCTCGAAATTGAAAATAAACGCATGTAAATGTTTTCATTGAAAATGCGATTAAAAAAGCTCGGTTATTCCACTACGGAAAAATTCCAATACTGTATGAAGTCAACCTGCATCACTTATGATGAAATCCTAGCATGAAGAAAAGAAGTTCAGACGGAGGTTTCCAAGGGCCTCCCGCGAAGGTCGTAAAACGTCCGCAAGATGTCGTCCAAGGCCTCAGCGCGGCGAATGAGGCACCATTGATTGTCATCTACCAAAACCTCTGCCAACTTCGGGCGAAGGTTGTAATTACTGCTCATAGATGTCGCGTAAGCGCCGCAATCCCAAACTGCAATTCCACATTCCGCTACGGGTTCAGGCATCGTGAAACCCTTTGCTAGGAAATCCCCGCATTCACAAATTGGCCCGACTATTTCAAACTGAAAAAAATATAGACAGTATAGCATCAGTTTCTCCTGTAATTGCAAGGACAAAAAACTTTTGAGGAAGATCATGTATAATTTGTTCTCCAAAAACGGGTGACATTTTGGTGAAGGCTTATTTATAGTCTGGCTTTCATGCAGCAGATGTTGAGGAATCAAAGAATTCATGCATTTTGATTGATATCTTCAAAAGAATGCTGATTCCTTACAATGAAATAGAAGATTATTTGATTTAGTTTGATTAAAAAGTTGATTCAATGGAGATTTTATTTCAGAATTACATTTCTTGAAAATTGGCATTCAGAAATCAGAACAGGCTTACTCAGAACTTCAGAAGCAATAAAGAAAATTTGGTGCAAACATGGTAAAGCATTGGTATAATTTGTTGGTATAAACAGTATTGAGAATAAATACTACAGTATTTAATAAATGCACCAGATGTTGAAGAAACAAAGAATTCATGCATTTTAATTGAAATATTCAAAATAATGCTGATTTCTTACAATGGGATAGAAGATTATTTTATTTAGCTTGATTAAAAAGTTGATTCAATGGCGATTTTATTTCAGAATTACATTTCTTGAAAATTGGTATTCAGAAATCAGAACAGGCTCACTCTGAAGCAATAAAAAAAATTTGGTGCAAACATGGTACAGCATTGGCATATCATTTGTTGGTATAAATAGTATTGAGAATAAATACTATTTAATAAATACTCACAGGCATGGGATCTCCAAAAGTTTGAGCTTTGTCCAGAACACTAATATGATGATGGGCATTGTACAATGATGGTCTTATCAAGTCATTCATTCCCACATTTGTCACAATGAACCTCTTTCCTGTTTTGGCTCCTTCTTTGATGCCCAACACTCTTCCCACAATCATTCCTGTGGGATGTAATACATAATTTTCAAGAGGAACAACTTTGAAAAATAATAATTGATTGGCATGATCCCCAAGGATGATGGTCACTTGCCTGTATTTCCCACTAATGACCTCCCAGGCTCCAGCACATATTCCCAGTCATCCATTCCAGGTTCTTCATTCAATGCCTTGATTAAATCTGATGGTGAAGGCACACCAACTTCTGTTTGATGATAATAGTCAATGCCAAGTCCTCCACCAATATTCAAAACCTTTAGATTCTGGTGTTTTGGCCTCAGCTGCATATGAAAGAGTTAAAGAGAAGCTAAATTGATTGGTTCATGAATTTAAGAGATCAAGATGGATTAAGGTTTCAAAGTATACTGTATGATATTTGATCATGTTCTGGCAGATTTTGGAACTTTTGTTAAATGTTGTCAAGGGTGACAGAGTAACATGCTTTATGGTGTCTGGTGATACATTTGTGTGTATTTGTAGAGTCATTTTATGACTTGAACCTTGTTGCATGATCTCATAACAATATTCTAATTAATACAATTTCTGACCCTGCCAATTTTAAACTTTGTGATGCCTAATTTAAGGTTGGTCTCAAAATGCAATCATTAAAGCAAGAACTCGCCAGGATCAGAATTATATAATTGAAGAAAAGCAGAATTAATGATTGATTCATTCCTTCAAATATTCCTTTATTGTTGATGCTATCACACTATTCAAGTTTGAATGCTTTTTATTCATATTTTATTGCTCAGAGATTTTATTTTCTAGATTTGGTCAATTTTTTGAAGTATTCCCTTGGACCAAATAAGTTCCATTGGCTTTTTAAAAAAATCAATGAATAACTGTACCTTTTCTCCAAGAGTCATCAAATACCTAAGATTGTCCAAGAGCACAGATACGTCTTTGATAGTGCTTCCAAGGTGGCAATGGAGACCCACCAGGTGTAAATTTTCATTTGAGTTTATGATCTCCAAGACCTGCAAGTAACTCAAGTTTTGTCTCTGGAATCTTTGAGTTATGCTTTAAAAAAAAAGAAGAAATGATGTGTACCTCATCCAAGTGCTGTGAGCTCACTCCAAATTTTGAGTCTGAAGTAGCAGTAGAATTGTACTCATGAACACCTTCAAGTTGTGCACTGGTGACATCTGGGTTTATCCTGAGAAACAGTTTTGCCTCAACCCCCAGTTCTGTAGCAAGTGATGAAGTGCTCTTTGCATCCATGGCTGAGTCAATGTTCAGGTAGCAACCTGCTTGTAGAGCAAGTTTTCTTTCCCACCTGTTGAGTTTTTTTTTTCATTTTTAGAAAAGTTATCTGTTCGTGTGTTATAGGGACAAAGGTTGGTTCAAAAGTTTTTAAACACCTTGAAAAGCTTATTCTGGTCAGCAAATGTCCAAATCAGAAAAACAAGTGTCAGCATTTTTGGGGAACATTTCTAAGACTGAAGTCTAGCTTTCTGTTTTTTTTGCAAGCATTTTCATTTTATTTTGAATGTGGAGTAGTTCTGTTGTTTGCTCAGAATGGATGAACATAAAAAATTTTAAAAAAAACGCTCTGTTCTCATTTGAAGATACTGTAGTTTTCCACTTCAAACATTATTGTCAATAGAAAGGAGTTTTTAAATTATTTGAAATCCTTCATGGCTCTTTTAATTTGACTTCCTGTTAATTTATAAAGATTGTATCAAGTAAGCTATATGGAAGTTTAAAAATCTTCAGTGTGCTGTACTTTCAACTCTCTGTGTTTTTTTTTTCATCAGGGTCACCAAAATTGCATGAATGCAAGTGATCAATGATCACTTGGTGAAAATCACAGCAAGAAAAGTAAAACAACAAGAATGACAAAGTGTATGAACCAAACCTCAAATTTGCAAATATTTCACCTCTGTTTTCCGTTGCCATTGAAAATGATTTGTTGCGGTTGGTAACCCTCTCTTAAAGCAAGGTTGACTTCGTTCCCACTGACTGCGATGCAATTGATGTTGAATTCCTTGATCAATTGTAAAATGTTGGGATTGAAATTCGCTTTGAGGGCGAAACCAATGCTGAATTTCACTCCGTCTTTCCATCCGTTCAAATAACCTGTCAATTATACAAACCAAGAAAATTGTTAAACTTTTTAATTAGTTAGAAGTAGGCATTACTAAAACTTTATTATTTTTAAAATGAAACTTTTTTTTCGATTTGATGTGTGAAGTACATTTTCCATTCTGAAAAATATTTCTTCAGAGTTTTTTGCGCTTAAAAATAATGCACCGAACCTCATAAATTCGAAGCCGTTTTTAAATGCAAAATATATTTTCGACGCACTTTTTGAGAACGAGGGAAGGAAAAATAACGGATATATTTTTTGAGATGGAAAATGATCGAAAACTAAACTTATTCGAGTGTATGAAAATCGTGTTGAAAAACAGCATATTCTGTATTTCCGACGCCATTTCTTTTTTTTTAAAGAGGGAAGGAAAAAATAACTCGGAATATTTTTCAAGGTAGAAAATGAGAAAAAAAAATATTTGAGTGGCTGAAACTCGTGTTGATTTCTTGGAAACAAGGTCAATTTTCAAATCCCGGTATTTTCCTATCCATTACAGCATTTCCTTTCAGAAATTCCGGACGACACTTTTTTTAAAATTTGCTCAAGAAGAATTTGAAAAAAACGTACCTTGAATATTTTTCACGAGCTGTCCTTTGCTGTACACAACAAACGGCTGGTCGCATTTACCACTGACCTCATTTTGCAGCTGCGTCAAATCCACATTTTCACACCTCAGTTTTCCATCTTCCGAGTAACTGAAGAAACTTTCATTCATGGCTTTAAATTTTTGAAATTTATTCTACGAATTATGTTTTTTCTCTTCTCTCTCTCTGTCTTTCGCACGAGTGAATAAGTTCAAGAGTGTCTCCCGGAAGAACTTCTGATGCGGAATGAGTCGTTATTTTTCTGGCGGGTTTAAAAAGCTCATGATGACTTCTTCTACGCGATACAGATTCACTGCGTGGTTTTATTTTTATGTTTTTTAAATCAGTACAGTATTATAGAAAAAGTTTTAGTTTTTCGAGGATGAGAGACGCGTCACAGACTCGGGTTCTTGGTGTGATGGAATAACGACCGTCCCATTGGATGATTTATAATAAAAACGAAAGACCTTGAAAGAATATGACGACAGATATTTTGAGAGGAACTTCCGTTTTTATTTTGTTGTTGTTGTTGTTTACGAAACAATTCATAGGCAGTTATTAAAATTAGCAAATTTTTTCATATACAGATCTTAATTTGAAAATTAAGAGATGCGGAGTATTTTAAAGAAAACATTTATGAGCGTTTAGATTTATTATTCCCCGATGCAAGAAAATGAGATGCTGTGCCAAAAACTGTTTCTCCGTTACTTTATTCCTTGTAGTTCCCATTTTCGTCTGCAGACGTGATTTCGATGGATTTGGAGGATCAATTATTTAAATTGAATACTGTGTAATGATTGGCTCATCGTTGAACATATTTTTCCTTACTTTTTAACGGCAATCGCTTGCTTTGATTTTGTTTGAGTCTTGAACCTCTTTCCGTGAAAAAAAAAATTGAGGAAAAATCATAAATACCAAAATTTTAAATGAAAACTCTGAAAAATCACACAAACGCATACAAATGTTTCGTCCTGCATCCAGCAAATGTTTTCTAAAAGTAATTTTGGCTCATTTTCTATGCTATTTATTTTGGAGCTTCTAAAAAATTATGCTGAAAATTCCACTGTACTGTAATGTAATGGGATTATTTCCGAATCTCACTTTATCTTTATTTAAAAATTGAGACGTTATCTACTGTATTTAAAGCATTTGTTTGTTCTAATTGCCATCTGAGAAGGTTTTCAATGAGGTCAACTATGTTCAAATTGATTCAAAACGGGGGTTCTGAAATAAAATACTCAAGTAAATATTAGTTTAAATAAAAATAAATTCTGCAAATACCATGCGGACTTTAAAAGTTCTTGAAATTTCTGTGTGTGTTGGAAAATATCACTGTAGTGATCGAAATAATTGTGAGCTAATCATTCCGCTAATCGATGGATTCGATGAAGGATTTATTCTTATGAACTTATAGTCTTCACTCTTAATTTATTTATGAAATTTTAAACAGCGATTACAAATTTATGTTTTTCTGAGGACCCGCATTCATCGGTTGGGATGCAGACACAGTAATTTTTTTTTTTTCGGTTGGAGGAAAGTCATCGTTTCAACCAGGAAGGCCTTCATTGAAAAGGACGCCTTTATTTTCAAAGAGTGGGGGCGTCCTTTTCACGACGACGGCGGCGGCGGCAGCGACGACGGTTTTTTTCCTTTCCGGAAACGTTCGTTGACACGATCCCTTGTGCAATATTCAAAGAAACCCAACGGTTTCGGATTCCCACTATATACAATTTTCTAAATGTTTTTTTCTCGTTTCCTCCTGAATGTGAAACGGAATGAGGAGAATATATAAGGGGGAGGAGGAGGAGGCGGAAAACAAGATGCCCCAGACAAAAGCAGGTGCTTGTTTTGAATATATATCGTACATACGGGCGGAACATTTCGCTTTTTTAAAAAGCCTTGATGTTGATGCGGGTTTTTGCGCTCATTCATCGGACCCCGGAATGCGGGATTATTTATTTTATTTATTATTTTACCAGAGAGAGAGAGAGAGAGAGAGTGGAGGGAAAATTTCGTCATTCAATCGGCAGCCATGGGTTCATTTGGCAGGTTGTCAGTTGCTTAACCCGAGCCCTTTGCGTGCGACCGTTGGATGTTTGGCTGGATTTTTTTTGCAGGATTTAAAATTTCTGGGAAGCAAAAAAAAACTGAGCTTTTATTTCCGTTAATTTATGCCGGTTATCGTGAGCATGGGCATCTGTTTGTAAATCCTTTGTAAGCGGATTCAAGTTCAGGTAACCGATAACACGTACAGTATGTGTAAAATGGGGATGAGTATATGCAGAACAGTAATTGTTTCCTCTTGGCTGCCTTTCGATCATTATAGATGTCGCCAGCTGTTGTTCATGCCTTAGCTGCATTTATTGTTTATACAGAAATGAAGCCTGAAATGTGACATACAAGTGAGACCCCGAGATGCGGACGTAATTGGTGCATCAAGAGTGTCCCGAAGTCAAAATGTCCCCAAGTCGAGTCACATTTTCCCTTAGACTTACATTATATAATTTTTAATTGGTGTTTTAATGTACAAAATACTCACCATAATTCCATGAAAATAAAAATGGTCTCCCATTTGAAACTGATCCTATCAATATATTTCAACACAATATGGACATTTGGGGAATTGAATACTGATACCTCTGTACAGTACATAGAAACATTGGCATTCTCTGTAAAAAATAACAATCAAGTGAAAAAGAGAGAAGGAA